GAGCAGGGAGCCCGATGTGGGACTCGATCCCAGGACCCTGGGATCATGACCTGAGCCGAAGGCAGACGCTTAACGACTGAGCCACCCAGGCACCCCGAGAGGGGATGACTTTTAAGTGGTAACTTACTATAATTACATATTTAACTAGTTCCTGCTTACTGTAAGTGGGGGGTTTTATATATAAACTTCTTAATCTTCAAAACAATTCTGAGTGTTGAATGGTACAACATTTATAGAAGTCAGTAGAATGTTGTAGAAGCCATAAAATGTAGGCAGGGATTTATATACAGAAATGTAATTTCAGACAACAGTGGGAAATACTCATGATCAAATCATGGAAAAAGTTACATTACACCATTTATTACACCATGCTGCATTATTTATGCATGCTGTGTTGTGTCATAGAACACACTGCAGTGGAAGTTGGCTCAGAGTTAAGATTGGAGGCAGCTGGGGAGGAGTGAATTTTAAGATGGGAATAATTAGTTGTCCTAAAGACATAAGAAGGGCCCTTCAGATCTCGAGGTCATTGTGTGAGAATGGATTTGAGAAAGTTCATACCTAATAGCCTTTGTTTTCTCTGAAGGGGTAGCAAGATCATCCCCTGAAAGTACAGGTGGTAGAGGACGACTTAAGGCCAGCCTTGAATTGGGAGTAGCCATTGTTGGTATCTCCTCACTAGAGGTGTTTAAAAAGACTGAGGGGCAGTGGGCTTGTGCACTGTAGTATTATAGGGGCACCAGTCTGCAGGAATGTGTGCTTTATTACCTAAGTAGCCCAGTTTAGGAGTGGAGAAAGCAAGTTGTTGTATTGATTTAAGATTGCATGATGAGTGGTGGACTCAGAAAGATAAGGATATTGAAGGTTCTGACTCAGAGAATTACTGAGGTAATATATTATGTGTTACAGGCTGATTCAGAAAGGAGGTAAGGCTGTGGGAGGGACAGTGGGTTGAAAGAAGTGAGCAAGGCTCAGTGAGGCTGAAGACCACAGTGTGGTAGAAAGATAGGCAATTGATATTTTGAAGTGTAGTTTCCAGGAGAGGACAGTTCTGGCTGATTAAAGTCCAGTGGATGATGGTAGGGACAGAGGGTGGGTGAATGTTATTGGAGTTGAGATCAGGAAAACTTGGAGGCTAGATTTTGGATCAGGGATTTAGGTTAGAGGCTCTCAGTCCTCACTGTACATTGAAGTCACCCAGAGAGCTCTTAAATACGAATGTCTGGGCCCCATCCAGATAATTAAGTCCTAATCTTTGCAGCTAAGATCTAAACATCAGCTTTGTGTAAAAGTTTATCAGGTGACTTATGCAGAGTTAGGAAATGCAGATCGTAGATGAACACTGAAGTTGCTGATGATGACAGGAGTTGAGAGTTGAGGTAAAATGACAGGTGATGGAAGTTCTCAGTGGATGAGGGTATTTTAGTAAAATCTAAACCCACACATTTTCATTTTTATATCATTTGTGTGTAAATGTGAAACAGAGGCTTCTTTATAAAATAATTTCATCAGCAGGAAGCAGATAGATACATTTTATACCACAAGTGCATTTAAAATCATAGTAGAGTTACTCAGCTGTCTCTAAATTCCCAAAGGTAAATCTGACTTTCCTAAATTCTCTGGCTACTTGGTTCCTCCTATACGGGGAGGAGCCTAGATGCCTTTTTTCTGGGAGCACAGAACCTGCCCAGACCTTGCATAGCTTTATTCCTCTCCTTTTTAAGAAAAAAATTTAATTCTATTAGATTGGTCCCTTCATCCCCCCAATAAGCCTTCCTTAGTTGATAAATCCTTCTTTTTCCCACATCCCCTTCCTCAAGACTCACTTTTATTGGTGAACGTGGCCTTATTTTGGTTAGAAATTTAAAGACCTCCCCTCTGCTCAATTATGCGCCTTTGATGACTCTTGGAAATTATCTTTTTGCTTTGTATGTTACACCTACATTTTAGTTAAATAAAGCAAAGTTTCTTAAACTTTTTGGTGCCATGGATCCTTTTAACAGTCTGGTGAAGCCTCTGGATCCCTTTTCAGAGTAGGGTTTTTAAAACTATAAAATACACAAAATTAAAGGAGACCACTTATATTTGAATATATCAAACTTAAAAAATAAATTTGTAATGTAGTAATATGTACTTCTTTGGTAGACCATTAAATATTAAGAGCTAATGGTGAGACTTTCATTACTATATTTTCAAAGTGATGAGAATAAATGGTATTTTGAGATACTGCAACAGCTATAACGTGATATGAAAATATCTATGATTTCTGTTAGTGACAAAGCCACAGATAATTCTGTTGTCATTTGTTGCTGCATTTGGGTGAAAAAAGTAATTTTATATTCACATCTGATTTCAAGGACCTGCTGAATCCTTGGGTTAGAAAACTGATACATGACACTAGAACTAGAAATATAAATCAGTGAACTTATAATTCCTGAATTTGGAGTTAATAAAAATATAATTTCTTTAACGTTTAAAAATATTTGCTTACAAAGCAGATCATCTAATGTTATTTTAAAAACCATATTGGTATATCATATTGACTTGTATAAGATTCTCACAAGCAGCATTATTCATAACAGCTCCAAGCTGGCAACAATCCAGATGTGTAACAATAGAGTAGATAAATTGTGCAATTTACGCAGCAATTAGAATGAATGGACCTGAATGGACCATTGCAAAAGCAGCAACATGTATGAACCTCACAAACATCAGACTGAAAGAAAGAAGCCAAATATAAGAGTATATCCTGTATTTCCTACATATTGTATAAAGTTTCAGAATAGGCAAAACTCACCAGGGAAGTGGTTACTTTTAGGAGAGAGGAGCAGTGTCTGGGAGAGAGCACAGGAAGGCTTTTGCC